TCTGAGGGGCAATACCACTGCGCCCGCCACACTGAGACACAAGTTGACAAGTTCCATGTGCCTGCAATTTCACCAGCACCCGTACCTTTCAAAACCGGAACACAGTAATGCTGACATTACTGCTTGGCGGCAGAAAGGTAAGGTGGCAGTACCGCCCTGGATGAACTCTTTCACAAGAAGCTGTACTGCTACTAAATAAAAACTATTTCTTTGGAATCTAATAATTTGACGCTTTGGAGAAAATGATTGGGGATAACGCCTGTTATGGAAACGACAATAGAGACAGTATATAGTTTTTCTTATCGCCAAATTCTAGTCAATTCATCTTCTGCGTAGAACAACGAAATTGACTCCCGGGCACTACCTAAACACGAATTACTTTAGAAAAGTTAATTTCCTAAATTGATACCACCGTGAATTTAACAAAGGACCTTCTACCGCCCTCAGTGCTAACTGCTAATTCACAGAAGTAGTCAAAAAATTTATGAATTCATTGTAGATATTTCTGTCGCCAAGCAGTAATGTCAGCATTTACTGTGTTCCGGTTTTGAAGAGTAAGGGTGCTGGTGAAATTGCAGGTACATGGGACTTGTCAACGTATGTCTCAGGGTGATGGGCGCATTGGGAGTGCCCCTTAGATCTTTGCGATTTTAAGCTCTGCTTGGCACTGTAACTGTTATGGACAGGCGTGTAGCTAATCATTCAGGTGCACGACTTGTTCGTCCCGGCACTTGATGTTATAAAAAAAAAGATTATACATTGTAATATGTTGAGTTCTTAGGTTTTCGCGATTGTTTCACATAGGAAATGAAATTATTTTTCCGGATTTAAATCGCGTATATTTGTTTTTTCAAACAAACCGACGCTTCGGGCCCTTTACAGTTTTTTTACCTTTAGTCCCATGGTCACGGTTGACATTTCAATATGTTCAACTCATCCAGTGTTCCCCAACCGCAAAGTTTAAAAGCAAATAACTGTGAACCAGTATATTTTCCGAGACAGGTGAATTATGAGTCGAGAAACAACCCGCAAGTCTTTATCACTAGTTTTATAAGTTAAAATAGAGTTAGTAGTAAGAAATTGCAGTAACTTTAGCTCATTATTGTTAGACCGCTAGTTCAGTTCACGATAAGTTAGGTGAAGAAACTTCTGAGATACTTTATAATGGTGTATTGTACTTGAGGTTTATACAGGATGTTAACATAATTGTGCAATAATATTTTGAGATATTATTTGTATCCTAAATTCAAGATAGGCTTACGTTGTCGCTGGATGAAGTTAAGTTATGGATTAAGATGATACATACTTGCGTAGACATCAGTTGACGGTGATTTTATAATATCCAAGAATAGTATAATAAATTTAAAAACTTTCGTGGTTTCTCATCAAATTCAAATCACCAGTTGCAATATTTCTTACCACGAGTACACGCTGTGTAACCGTTCCGAAATATCGTGTATTATTATCCTGATGAGAGATGAGAGATATCAAACCGTGGCACAAACCGACTAACTAACTAAAGTAAAAATAATCTAGGAATTATTTTTCGAAAAATACAGAATATTTATAATAAGATTTCCCGAAAACTTATGGAACGAAACCGATATGAAAATACTCATTACACTCAACAATTTTAGGCAGAAATAAATCGGTTGTCAATTTCTTTTTATATCCCAAATGACATACCTTATAAATACCCCCTAGTTTATTCTTTACTCACAACCAAGTTAACGTTCGAATAGATATCGACATTTTTCATTCTTCCCGTAATGTTTTCAAAAATAACATTCTCGAATCGTTTCCTCAGTAAATTCATAGATTCTTTGTTGTTTTTTTTATAAGTACAATACTAATGTAAAGTTACGCTGCTATCTAATAAAATATGTACTGCTGTTGATGTAGGTACCTTATCTATAAAATAAACAAATAAATACCTCTTTTTGTTATACCCTGTATAAGCATTGGAAGCCACTTGTCAGCACGCTTCACGTTGTGTATATGTATGTGTACAACGTAGTAGCCATATACTAAACGTTTGTTTTATGGTCTACATGTTCAGCACTAAATCGATTTTTCTAAATTAAAGGGATGGATGATCGTTTTTAATAGAACCATATTATGATCATACATCAAAAGTGCTTTTATCACACGAAAGTGATAAAAATAATACGAACTATTTAAGCATAAAAGTTATCGCCTAATTTTGGTCATGGGATTTTTTTTAACCGACTTTGAAAAAGGAGGAGGTTCGTATTTCGACTGTATGTTTTTTTTGTATGTATGTTACGCGATAACTCCGGTATTTGTGCACCGATTTTCATGATTCTTTTTTTGTTGGAAAGAGGGTATCTCTATAGTGGTCTCATTTTGAAGAAAATCATCCACCTATAAGAGTGGCTATTCACGCATGAAGATTCATTTTTATAAATAGCGCCTAAATTTTAATATAAGGAGCAATTATTTTAACGGTTGATTTTGCTATTCTCTAATTCAAGGCGTTTTTCTCTCTCAATATACTTTGAGTAGGGAGAACTGATTTTTATTATCTCCTGTGTCAAGTCCTGTATAGTGGCGAACTAGGGGATACTTCAATAAAACTTGGCAAATAGATGTAATTCCACGTACTTTTGAGGTCGGTTTTTTAGTACTCTGTACTGAGATTATTAATAAGACCACATTATTATCATACGTCAAAAGTGCTTTTATCACAAGAAAGTGATACAAATAATACGAACTACATGAAACAAAATTCATGTTTATGTGAAATTTTATAACTCTCCTATTTAAGCATAAAATTTATTTTTTACTGCTTGGCGGCAGAAATAGGTAAACTGGCAGTACTTCCCTGGACGAACTCTTTCACAAGGAACTCTACTACTTCTAAAATCTTTAAACCTCTCTCCTTTAAAGTTGTGATTTTGCAGATGTGGGTTTATTACACCAAGAATGTGATATACATGTATTATATATAAACATATGCACAGTTATTGTTTATCAACTAGGAACTTCGAGTAAAAGTTGTTTACAACACAACACAACCAACATAATGTGAGAGCGCACAAACATGTAACGGCAATTTAAAAACTATACATTCAGGATAAGTCGTTCGTTCGTTCGTCGTCGTCCTGAACTAACATCGTCGTTTTTTGTCCAAAAGAAAGACGGTCTAGTTTTACATTTCTATCAGACTAAGTCTGTCTTTGTGGCCAGTGCACTGGTCATACATGGAGGCGGGATTCGACAGAAGCGTTAGGGTGTATACACGCTAAGAAATTCGACGTGTCTGCTACAGAAAAGATGAGTGTGGTCTTGACACAAGACAAGAACTTTGTTGCAGATGAGAAAATAACGAGTACGTGTTTAGGATAAAATGAGTCAGTGCATTACGAGTCTTCCAGGTAGCTATCGTTTTACTACCAATCGTGGGAAGAAATATGTTGTTGTTTATATTGACTCATAAGCAACACCCGTCCACGTGCATAAACTTTCGTTTACTAACTATGCACCTCGCCCCACCTCTTACAATAGCGGCAGAGCACGCCGTGTTGGGGTAGACAAGATTTTTTGTGTGTAGAAACGACACGAATTCTTACATAGACCCGGCGACTTTTCTTAGCGTGGACACGCGCCCTTATGGTACCACAAAATATATAAATATGATTTCTACAATGATCTATTTAAGCGCTAGTGAAAGCTTGTATTCGACTGTTTTAGAAGATTCGATTTTCCACTGAGAGAGCGGTTTATCGTAGTATAATAAGACAAACGCTGTAGCTCGGCTTGCAAAGGGTTTTACATTAAGAGCGGGTAGACTTTGACAGCTAATAGCAGAAATGTTGTTGACGCTGCTTTTGTCAAAGCTGTTGTTTATTTTTCAGTCACTAAAGAAAATTATGGCAAGTTACTGCGTCGAGCAACACGTGCCATGCAGCGTGTAACTTCGAAATATCGGGAAAATAAAAAGAAATGATATCATGGTAAGAAAACTATAATTTGTGATAATCATTTAATGAATAACTATGAAAAGCCTTAAAATCTATACTTATTTATTTCAGAAGCCACAAACGCGTTGCTCAACGATGAATGTATGATTTTTTCGATGGTTTTATTGTCTATAAATATGCATTTATTACATATAATGTATCTATTGTTATTACATATTCTTTGTTGTAGTTGATGACTTACCGGCAATCCCATTTTATTAAAGTTGATATTAGTCCTGACAGTTCTGTGGTGCAGAGGCTGCACAGGGCGAGCGTTGTTGCCCAGAGGCGCTTTGGGGCTCAATTGTGACCCTTGCATTAGACGGCGGAGGGCGTACATCTGGTGGAATATAGTTTGGTATACAAAGTAACACTTGAAAATCTGCTGGAATTATATACTGAGAATCTCGTTTTTATAGCATTTTCGAGACTCAAGGATGGTAAAAATAAATGAATAAGTCGCACACTCATTGCTTCACTCTTCATCTATCACTCTTGGCTTTATTTCTTAATTTATATTTTTTACATACGACATTAAAGTTATTGTAAAAATTTGTACGTGTTTTATTTAGTTATATTGATATTAAAAAAAATTGGTATTCGTGTAAAATTTCGAGGTAAGTTTGTGTTTTTTTTCTGTTGTGAAAATTTTTAGGAACCGTGTTTTCACACCATATAGTAAGCAATGTATATCCGCAATTTTACTATATATTTTTTTCAAAGGCATTGTTTCAATACTTCCACTGTTATGCTGAATCAACCAAAGCCGTTTAAGGTACGTAACGACTTCAGTAATTTATTTCTATCACATTTCCACCGAATATCATTAAGTTTGATTAATAAGTATTAAACCTTGTTTGGAGCGCGCAGGCAGTACAGTCCTCTTCAGATATTATTTACAACATTATAAAGTAACCCTTACCTCTTGCTTAGAAATATAAATAGGTTTGTTAAATATGATCCAAATGGCAGTCTCCCAGCAGCCAGGGTGCGTTGTGGACCCCTCGTAGGTAAGATACTGCTGTGTGTTAGGCAGGAGAGAGCTCAGAGGAAGGTGCTTGATGGGGTATGAACTACCTGAAAATAAAAATGATTGTAAAGGCAAGAACCCAGTAGTTAGTATGTTATAGCACCGCACGCTTACTTAGAGACCAGTGTCCTTCGATTGTCAGCGTTTATGCCAACGCACGCACAGCGTCGGCACGACGTCAGCGCGGCGGCGACACTACGCCAGCGCGGCGTAATACTAATAATGCGACCAGACGCATGATGTGAATGAAGCTTCATTCTTGACACTATTCGTTAATATGGTGGAATATTACTTATTTGACAGTAATTGTCTCGCATGGACGTTCGACTCAGAACGGGAGTAGACTCCCAGCATTCGCTCCCTGATGCCGCGCTGGCGTTGTGCCACCGCCGCGCGGACGTCGTGGTGACACTGTAGGTACGTTGGCAAGACGCTGACACTCGAAAGGCGCCAGTGTGGGGGATCTCTAAAGAGTCTCTAACACACGACGTCCGCATGGCGGCGGCGGCGACGCAATGTCAGCACTGATCGACTGCAGTATAGTGCTGCTGTACAAGGTCTTTAAACGCGTATTTTATATGCGATGTCGTCAGTACGCTTGATGTAGAAGCGTGTTTGCGCACGGGACTCAACACGAATATGAATTTAAGTCTTTTATTAGTCAAATTCAAATAATCAATTCAATTCAATTCAATTCAATATTCTTTATTGCACAATAAACAAGCAAAAATACAAAACAATCAAAAATACAGTGTACAACAGGCGGCCTTATTGCTAAATAGCAATCTCTGCCAGGCAACCTTGGGATGATAGGATAAACTAAAAGTAGTAATAATAATAGAGGGCGCAATAAATATGATATTATTATTAAACATCATAATATATGAATGAAATAAATAATAAATATCTACTAACATATAAATTACATAAATACTTAAATACTAATATAATACATACAAATAAATATATTATCACCACAGAAGAAAAAAATAAAAAAAAATAAAAAAATAAACCAATAAATAAGAAGAGAAATAATCATTTATTCCATAGGTAAAATTTTTTCACTTCAAAACATTGACTTACAATTATATGGACGTCGGATCCGCGCTAAACAGTGTCCGAACTTATAGGGCGTTAAAATCGTATACAGAGCGTCATTCACGCTGTAGTCTTCGTTTGTTCGACTGACAGCGAAGCAAGCAAAATTAGACAGTACTGCGATGACATTACAATTTAAATTCAACGTTTTAGCTTTTTAATGTTCCTTTACATGTCACTACGTTTAAATAGGTTGACTTGGGACATTTTTTTCGTGGTTTTTGTATTTGACTCGTCGTCCATTTATTTGTAAGTCAATGCTTGAAAACGTCATTTTTTAAGCCTCTTTTTCATTTTTTAAGTTCTGGCAGAACGAGCAAGAAACTCTAGGGTTTACTCTTTTCAAAGAAACTTAAATGGTATTGAATACACTTTGAATCATAATTGTATGGAATCCTAGACTCTTGTTGTCTTTCAATACTTCTTTATCTAACAGATATTCATCAATTTTGTAATATAACTTTCAATTAAAATGCTTTTAGTATAAGTTTTAAGCTTAGAAAATGATAATCTTAATATATTCTCCAGAATCTTATTGTAAAAACGTATACAGTTTCCCATAAAGGAATAAATTACCTTAGTTAAACTCATACAACTTTTTTCTTTAATATTCTTTATAAACTATTATCTTATGACAAATAAAACTATTTTTTTCGGATCTAAGGGTCGTATTCCTGAACTCTACTCAATGCTCAAGACAGGATTTGAGCAGACTTGAGTATGATTTCAGGCACTGGAAATACTACCCTAATGGCAAGGACTTGAGTATGATTTTCAGTGCTCACTGCAATACTCAAGTCCTGACTTGAGTATTGAGTAGAGTTCTGGAATACGACCCTAAGTGTCTACTGAAATAAATGACCGTTGTACTCTGATGCTAGAATTCTCTACGAACATAACCATTGAATGTACACACCTCTGAACATAACTTTATTGAAGGCGCTGGTAATTAGTCTTAGCTCCTTATTGGTTGGTTCTCCGATCTGAAACAAATTTGGTATGTAAAGGGTGGAATTTTCAAATCGACGACGGTCACTTCAAGAACGTTCTCCAGTACATCGTTTCATTCTCTCTAAGAGTCTACTAAGAGCATACGGCGGATTTTATACTTACTACTTATTTGTGTTTTTTTTTTTAAATACATGGACCTGCTCTTGACCACTATCTAACCATAGAGCAAAGATAGGATCTACAATGGAACGAGCTCGCCCAGAAGACAACTATTTGGTTGCACCTTAAAGATCTCGGGTTGTATGTGCTGTAACACGTCGAAGGCAGGATAAGAAAAAGCGCTTAGTAGGTACGCTTAAAGGGAATATCGGCTAAGTAGGGATGACATCCCGTCCTGCGTCTGGATGTACGATGATAGAAGGGGTCGTGCGGAATGTGCTGAAGGAGCTCATTAGCGCTTTTTAATAGCAGTAGAGCTCCTTGTGAAAGAGTGCGTTCAGGGAAGTACTGCCACCTTACCATTTCAGCCGTAATGTGGGCATTACTGTTTCTCGGTTTTGGGTAAGGGTGCGGGCGCTGGTGAAATTACAGGCACATGGGATTTCTCAACTTATGTCTCAAGGTGATAGGCGTAGTGGCAGTGTCCCTCAGATATTTGATAGTTTATTTGCTAAATCACAGTACATTACAAATAAGCTTGTGACATAGGTACAATGGTAACCATAAAGAAAAGGCTAGTCTAGGTTGGTCTGGAGTGTTATAACTTATTAGGCGTAGAGTTGAGGGTACTGTGTCAGCAAAAAGGGCCCGACTCAGCATTATGCCGCAGTTCAGTCGAACTACGACGCTGATGATTCTGCCAGGTCCTAAGGTGAGACGGTAAAAAAGAAGTAACTCAGAATAGAGAATCGACACGGAGTTAGAATGTAAGGGATGTATTATAATATTAATTGCATAGGTAAATAAATTATTATATAAGCCAAAAAACGTGGACGTGTGAGTAATTTGTGTGGTTGTATAATAATCGTAAATGAATGGGTGTTTTGCTTAAAGGTGTGTGTTTGTGTGTAGGTATGTAAAAAAAAAGTGGAGTGTATGTGTGGTTTATATATAACTATGAAACAAAGTATTTATCGCAGGGAAAATATTTTGTTTTGCTTTGTTTTACTTTGCGATTGAAAGCTTTGAGTCGAACTCCAGCCGCTTATCCTGTCGCTCGGTATCATAAAAAATAAATACTCAGCGAAGTATATTCTGTAGAAAACCCACAGTAAAGCGACTTTACGAAATACAGCTAAAATTTGTCAGCATGTCTACTGAGTACACGAGCTGCATTCCGACTCCAAATGGACTCGAAAAGCACTTGTCTGCACCTAAACCGTTTTCCAACCGCATGCTGACTGCTATTTTGCAGTCGAAATGCAATTCGTGTAAGTTGGAAACAAATATTTACCTGCACCATGAGAGATATGCCAACGACGCCTTGTGATTTGTGCTGAGCTTCAGACATGTTGTGGTATAGCTCCTTGTTAAACCCATAGAGTTGTATCTGAAAGAAAATTTACAATATTTTAATTTACATCATAATGTTAATTCGCCCTAACGGCTTAACCACTAAAATACACGGAAAACAATGGATAATCAGTGACATAATTATTATCAAAAACAAAAATATACACTTATATATGTATATATATGTATAATGTAAATGTATATTTGTTTTGATTTACTTCTATTCATCGGAGTTTACACTTAGAATTTTATGTAGTTTCATTTCAAAAACTAACTGAAATTAACAAACAATACTAACATTAAAACTATCTCTTAGCAAAATGCTATACATACGCGCGACTGATGCGCGTTTATGGCGCCACTGAATTTGTGAATATGTGCAAAGATTTACTCGACTGCATCGTGTTTGAATCACGTGTACATCATTTGCGCGTCGTCGGCGTGATAAAATATGCCGTGTGCATGAAATATGTTGTGTTATAATATCAACGTTCATATGAAGTACTGACGACATATACCGGATCGTTTAGTTTGAAAAAAGAATGATTTCAATCGTCTTTTGTTTTCGCGCACTGCCACTGCGCCCGTCATCTTGAACCATAAATGTCCCATGTGCATGTCACTAAATGATATCACACTTGTGATATATTTATCATCGAAACGAGCTAATCCACCAACGTAGCTTGCACTTGAGCATTACTAATTACTCTATATCAACAGAGATGCCCCGTATATACGCAAGGTTGACGACCTCGGTGGCCGAGTGGTTTGCACTGTGGTCGCAAAAAAGAGGAGGTCCTGGGTTTGATTCCCGGTAAAACGAATGTGAGTACTCTGGATAGTGAATTCTGTTGCTCTGGTATTCATAATGTAGGAAATTCCCTACTTTAAGACACTACCCAGAACAACTAGTCTTACTTAGAAAAGTTCATTTCCCAAACTGGTCCTACCGCGAATCGAATCGGAGACTTCCTAATCTGATGTCCACGGTGCAAACCGTTAGGCCCTCGTCAAAATGGACTTATAGTCCATTATATACCGTCGGATTGGATTGGTGAAATTATGGATTTATAGCCCAAAGATAGCTTTTATCTAAAATTACTCTCTATCTTTCGTTTACTGATTACGAAAGAAACAGGGTCTATCACAAAATACGAAACTACGTGACAACGAAGCTCATATGACAGCTATTGTATCGAATTTTGTCTTCACTTTCATAGTAAAACTGCATGTCTGGTACGTATGAACTACGTTGTCATGTAGTATCATATTTCGTGGCAGACCTCTTGATTACTTGAATTTCTATTACGTTTTAAATTAAGTTTGTGATTGCCTTATACACTAACGAAATTATCTATATAATTTAAACCTTACATTTAACATTTAAAGAACTATTTCTATCTCCACTGTAATCAAGCCTGTCTAACCTCCAACAAACAATAGAAACAACGGGTTACCGATACTGTGCGCAGACGACAATACCTCAAAGGGATTATAATCTCATTGATTGGAACGACCGCGGTGCCTATGACGTGTAGTTCTAGCTTTATATCAATACGAATAATTTACACTGCAATAGAGAAGATTAGAAAACCCATTTTAGTAGCAGTAGAGTTCCTTGTGAAAGAATTCATTCAGGTCACCTTTCCTGGTTCTGCCGCCAAGCAGTAATGTGAGTGTTACTGCGTTCCGGTTTTAAAGGGTAAGGATGCTGGTGAAATTATAGGCACATGAGACTTCTCTCTAGACTTGACTCTAGTCAGCCGCTGGTAGCTGTAAAGGCTGAGTGAAGAACAACTTTCATAGATTGCTCACAGATGGCGCTACGGCAAAAAAGTTGTTGGAAAACCATAAAACAAAGATCTGTAGCAAGCACATTAAACATTTCATTAGGTCTGTTGGTTCGCTCAGTAGCTTAGCCCTGGTATGCTGAAGACGCTGGTTTGAATCCAGCCTGATCGAATCAATTTTTCTCTGTGTTTGATCTTTGTATTAATAATTATAACAAACTAGTGGAGTAGCTTTTTTTGTTCCGCCAGGACTCGTACCAAAACACGGAAAAATTCGTAAGATCTATAGGGCTGGCACAATAGGGTGTGGCTTGCGCGAGAGCGACATAAAGCGCGATATAGTAATATGTCAAGTTTCTTGACAATGGAAGAGGTCCAAACAATGCCAAGCAATAACAGCAATTTTTGTAACCTAACCACAGCAGAAGCGTACGAAATTTAATGCCACTTCGTTGATTGGGGGAATTATCCTCGTCGATACGAATCTACTAATTAAAACTGATCAAACGTTTGTCACATTTTCGACGACCTTTTAGTAGGTAATTAATTATTGTTTGTGGTTTGGAGGGAAGTGTACCTACAACCTCGTCGCGCATTTCTGGGACTAAATATTTTACGATACCAAGAGACGGGAACAACAAGTCGTACGCCTGGTGGTAAGCGACACACCGATCCATAACTGGCTTCATTACGTCACAAAGTCTGCCGATATTGTGGAGTAAATACGGTTGAAAGCCAATGCGTGTAGCATTGGCATGAGAGTCGAGCAGTTGGGGTCCCGCCACAATGTAAATTATAATTCATTCGTGGTGAGAGTACCAACTCAACATCTATCGACCTTCATGAAAGATGAGTTTTGGCCGAAGGGTGTCATGTACCGACGTTTCCGAGGCCGGCTATCAGACGCCCATGTTGCGTCACACGTCGCAAACAATACGTGTAAATAATAATTAGTCATTAGTGTTTTCTTGTATTATTATGTAGTTAGTCTATAATGTACGTATTTGAGGGTCTTTGTAACCTGAATACAAATAAATAAATAAATAACAATTGCATTGCCAATCACAAAAATCTAAGAGAAAGAAATATTTGTATGGCCTATATTTATTTCTCTCTTGAGTTTGAGTGTAATTTGTCGTTGACTATGTTGTATAAGTCCATGGCATCCGCGACACAGGGTTACCCTAGTACGGGGCTATGAGTGTGTGCATGTGAGCATTTTTTATTACATTCAAATTTGAAGAAATTTTCATGAAATCTGTTTTGTATATACATTTTTTTTCTTGTTTCAGGTAGGTTTTAGCTTTAAAGTTATCTATGTGAAATAGTACAACTTAACAAAACTATTTAAATATTAATCTCAGTTCATCAAATTAACAAATTAACTCCCTAACTTGATGCCGTTAACGAGTACCGTTATTGGGCCCTTGGGATGAGAACCTGACAACTTAGATTCAAATTACTTAACTTAGAAAGCGTGAAGTTTAGACCTATTTCTAATAGAGAAATAGTCACTTTGTTTTACGTAAACATTTATTATATATATGCATCAAGCTGTTCACGTCTCACTATAGGATATACACAGTGTTTAGTTTAGTTTTTCTCAATATTACAAATTTCATACAAATACAATTACATGTAATTTTATACTACTCTTCGAAAAGTAAGCGTCAGTTTACAAAATAATGAAGAAATAATTATATAATAGTAAGTTATATATACAATAGCGTTCATCTATTAAATGCATATTAAAGTATAACAATACGGCGAATGTCAAATTCGTTAATAAATTTAATTATTTATTAAATATTTTGAGTGTACTATGTCACTGAGTATGTAATCGGTAAGTGTGCTCAAGCGATTATTCCATAAATATAAAAGATATCAAAAAGCTTTCAACTATTATCGCCAGTACGTTTTCTAATGAGTAAATCGACATCAATAACTTTTTCAAAATAAAACTAGAAATATCCAAAATTTTAACATTAAACGCTCCCATACAATTAATATGACATTCGTGAAGAGGCTTTAGTTTTCCTATGTTTTTCATTACATTTGTGAGGAAATAAATGCAATGTTTATTTCTTTTATAAATACACATGATTCACAACACAACAATTATGGATTTTGTAAATGGCGGGTCTTTTTTTTATAAACAGATGGACAGCAAGCTTTTCTTCAACTCGAACTAAAATGTTGTAAAAAGCTAATACGCTTATTATAGCCATGATTGTAAAAAAATTCTAAATTTTTGTACAGAAAATAATTAAAATCAATTATAAGAAATTATTAATAATAAGTATTTAAGTAGTATATGTGTGTACGTACGCCTTGCTTGAACTTAAACCTGACCTATGTAAGGAAGTATGTCGTGCTACAAAGAAAAAAAAACTCCTTACCGGTCATGGCTGTAATGGGAAGAAAAAAGGCCCGAGGGTTTTATTTGGGGCATTATAGTCAAGTTAGCCATTATTAGTCATTTACGAGTAAGTGTGATGTAAACGAATATAATGCAACGAATTCGAATCCAATGAGTGTAGCTATGTAATTAGTTAAATACGCTGTAATGCTCACATTACTATACACAGTACTTCCCTGGAAAAACTTTTACTAAACTTGACATGCTCTTTTTAGCCCTGTAAAATCCTTAACATTTTTACTTTTCAGTAAGTATGATTGTGGGCAAACCGGTTTGGCTTCTAACACAAATATTTTCATACTTAAAGGAAGTTCGCCAGCAATGATATATTGGAATAAGTCAATAGATTTTACTTTATTTTTATTTTATATTTTTTTCTCTAAACCTGGCTTTAAATTACCTTATATTTTCTTGAAAACATTGTAGAATTTATAATAAAATGGCGATAAACAATGTCGTTGTAACACTGATAACCATAATTATGCAATAGTCGAGCTCGCTACAGCAAATATGTGGAATTCTCGCACTTAGTTGGAATGTTTTGATACTTGGCGCTAAATTCATTTATATTTTAGACGATAATTTTATACTAAAGATCACGAAGTTAAAAAAAATATTTATAAAGCGAACATGGGTAGAAATATCTCAACCAGATTGAGGACGACCTTAAAAATGATTGCTCAAAAGTAAAAAGACATCTAATGTTACCGCACAACAACAACCTGAGTATGTGCGAATAGTCATCTTCTGGGCGAACTCGTTCCATTGTACTTACTTTGCTCTAGGATTAGGTAGTGGTCAAGAGCAGTCCATTTACTTAAAAAAAAATGTTATTTGTTAGGCAAGACTGCAAAGTTGTTGTTGACGCGCGCGAGTGCTTGTAATGAAACTTGAGCAAGCGAATGTAGCCAAGATTGCTCGCTTCACTCGTGGTTCAAAAATAGACAAAAAGCGTAGCGAGGGTTTCAAGGCACGAGACGCAAAACAATTTTGCTGTCAAAAACCTTTTCCACGCTAGCGTGCAAAAAACGCTTTTGCGCTCAGATTTCTGATGAAAACGAAAGCCTTTCCGAGCTAGTGAGGTGAAAAAAAATTAAACCTGTGTTCTGAAAAATTTGTCTTTTTTCAGATGTGGTCCTTTTATAATATGACCTTGGGCGCTAAATAATTATTTTTATAATAAATAATTAGTTCACACTGTCTCATGACACCTTTGTCTACGCGTACTACAGCTAGTTCCATTCCAATAAAGTGCGGTAGTGAGATGTCGGTAGAAGTCGGGGAATGCTAACTATGCAATAGGTCAGACCACGAACCTTCAGAGGGAATTATGCGACCGCATTATTGCGTTTCACTTTGATGGTAGCTATCTGAATTCGGCATTTCGCAGGTTTTTCTTCGGATTTAAATTATTAAAATATGTAAAGTATGTAGGATTAAAAGAAAATATTTATAACTTGTTTTTATCAAACATTATTAACGAATTATAAAATTCATTGGTGGAGAGAGTACTAATTCAGCATCTGCTGACTTTTATGAAGGAGGAATTTTGGCCGAAGGGTGTCGTGTAGATCGTTTACGAGACACCCGCATTGCGTCACACGTCGCAGTCCATACCAATGATTTTTATCTTATTATTACGTATGTTAGTCTGTAAGGTACGTATTTATGGAACAATGTCAATTTAACTGCCTCCGTGGCCGAACGGTTACCATACCGGAGTGCCACGCAGAAGTCCCGGGTTCGATACCCACACCGGAAGAAATATTGGTATGGCCTACATTTATTTCACTCGTGAGTTTGGGTGTGATTTGTGGTTGTCTATGTGGGTGTCCATGGCACCCGCGATACAGGTATTCCCTAGTGCGGGGCTAAAAATCAATGTAACCTGAATATAAAAAATATAAAAAAAAAATAAAAATAACTATACTGAAAAGTGCAGCTAAACTGCCGACAAAGTTTCATAAAGTTTGGAGGAACTTTATCTCTCTTTCCACGTATTTTCTTTTGAAAACTTAAGAAAATTCAGTAAACTTCAGGAATTTCTACATGAAGTTCCTCAGTAAATATGAATCATATAAAGAGGACACAAAAATACTGACCTCTCCAGGAAAAGTGTGATGGTCAATCTGATGTTCCGATCCTCGATTATCCTCCATACCATAGTGGAAGTAGATTTCTTCAAACTGGTACCGGTAAGAGAGTGGTCCACCGCTTATGTTCACTTGGTGCTTGGAGTCCTTTTCCACTCGGAAGACCAGGGATTGACCGGTGTTTTGGAGGACACCGCTAACCTGGGAAAGAAACATAATTTACATGAATGATAACAAATAAAGAACTTCCGATAGTAAACAGTGCACTCCATAAAGGCAACAAAGTCACTATATCTGTTCGCTAAACAACTCATCGAGACCAAATGGAAAGAATTCAAAGACAGGTCTACTGTAAGTAAGAGTATTTTTGTGACGGGACGGGAAATCGTGAGCCTGGTGGTAAGCGACATTCCTATCCATAAATCGCAAAGACCTTAGGTACACTGCCACTGAGTCCGTCATCCTGAGACATAAGTTGACAAGTCCCAAGTGCATGTAATTCCATCAGCACCCTTACCCTTCAAAACCGGAACACAGTAATGCTGACATTACTGCTTGGCAGCAGTAATAGATAAGGTGGCAATACTTCCCTGGACGAACTCTTTCACAAGGAGCTCTACTACTACTAAATATCACTGTAATTATAATCTGATTTCCATTATATACCAAATATAAACATTAATTTTATCACTGAGATACCGACACTAAAAAAAAAAAGGAAAAACGTATTTATTTACAAGAAAAAAGAGCTGATGATATTTAGGCAACTGAGTAGATGTTCGTCTACGATACATAAGAACCATCGCAATTTTATTGACCTAAAAATAACAGAAAAATGCTTTGAAATTAGTCAATCCGTTTGAGAGCTACAGTACCTCAAACAGACACATAGATATCAAGACAAAGGCTTCACTTATAGCTCTCCTCTCTTTGTGTAGGGGGTTAAAAACAAACAGCGTAATCTTAAGAGAAGAACATTTGTTATTGCAGAGGCCATAAGTTCTTAAAACACGATTTCCATCGGATAGGTTTTAATAAATTGATCAAAGGACACGTAATGAAAGAATGTTATTTCAGACAGTAGGTTATATATAGTTACATGTCCACATGGTGTTAATAGATACTTACAACTGCGTTAGTAGAAAACAAAGTGCTTGCTGATTGGACTGTCCATCCTGTCTGCTACCACCTTAAGAAGACTGTTGGTGCTGCCTCTCACTCTGGCCAACAGGGATGCCACTCTCTAGCTAACGACTGCTTGAAAACTATCAATCCTAGCCTCCACGAACATCACTGAGGCATTACAGTGTCGAGGAAGCCTCAGCAGTCCCGTGAGGGCGTTGTTGAATTGGATACGCAAGGTACTGTATGCTTTTTTAGTGTGATTGCTCCACAGGTTGAACGTGTCTAAGATCTGACAATATGTTTTGAAAAAGGGTGATTTTCACCACATGTGAGCACCGCGCACACCTGCGGGCTAGCATATTACATCTCACCACCAGCGCCCGCACTCTCCAGGTCAACACCTCCAGGTCATATTCGAATCTACATCAACAACACTTTTACTCGATACTACCACAGATCAAATTTAGATATTTCCCATAAAAATACGGTACATTTTGCTTGGGTGGAACGGCAGAGATACTGGCTTTATTTCAGAATCTATTTTTTTACAAACGAAGTTAAAGCCCTTTGAAAAATGTACTCTATACGTATTCTATTTAGTTCAGTTGATATAAAAAAATGCATGTAAAGTACTTATTGAATACAGCAGTTTTCTTGTACTTTTTCGAGATAAGTTTCGTAATCGTGTTTTCAAACCTTGTGGTAATCAGTATATATCCTCATTACAAAACTCATGCCATATATTTTTGTCAAATGAGTTTGTATACTCTTAATTTTGAATAATCGAAACACCTGAGCATTTTCTCCGTTAATATAGCCGCAAAAAAATAATCTAGTATCCTGTATAAAACGGCTGATTGTTTTTTTTTCTGACGAGGCAAACGCCATCGCCAAATTTCATCGCCATAGCAAAAATGCAAACAGTCATCAGGTACGAAGTTGACGCTTGGCTGCTATATACTGCATCAGAAAACCCACATTATAACACGTGTTCTACCTTGGATCTTTCAAGATACGGCCTAATGTTATTGTGGTGAAAATTAATCACGACGATGTCATCAGGTATGAAGATTGGTTTAGTTTGTTATGCTAAAGAATAGGACATTCTAAAAATACATTAACGCAAGAGCAAATTGAGCATAAAATGCAGTAAAAATGGACACATTTGATAAGGAGCATCAAGAAACGCACTTCATTTATTACAAGATTGTTACTTTTTACTTTGAACGTATTTAGACACGTCATAATTTGAGATGACGAATATTATGGGTAATTTTATACATCATTAAGAACAAAGACAATATTAACCAATATTCTAGTTCATAATAAAATTGAGTTACCCATCTTCGGCTTCGCATCATACAGATTACACAGCATAGCGTCAAACACATTACGCATTGCGTAATAACTGAGTAACTGAGTTCAATCGACGTTAGAATAAGCAAACAAAGCACCAATTTGCCTAAATTGCTATCTATGTCCACTGTAAGCCCTCAAAAGGTGTTTTTTTATGAAATGGATGAGCTTCAACGAGGGGGGCAGTTCTATCAATCAATTGGTCGCACCTTGATTAAAGCCTGAACTCCAAGTTTTACTACACCTGATATATTGTGAGTTGACACGCGAACTTTGTATTGTTATTGATGTTTGGTTTTCTGGAAATGGCCCTTTAAATATATGTTTTTCGCTATAATATAGGTTTTAAAGGATTAAACAGTAGGTTCCTTGTACAGAATTTCTAATAAACTTTTGAGAAAGGAGGATGTCAGTTTGTTTCTTGTGCACTGTATCGAAAATCAAAACCACTAAATCGTAATTTTATAGGCAAGCAAATTATACTTGAAACGAGAATGATTGAGTGAGAAACTCTAGGAGTTGCTCTTTATACATGGACATTTTGTATATATTTACCATTTACAATATTGATACCGAGTTCTTAGGTTTTCTAAACTAAACTATAATCACGGTTGGCCCCAGGAGGAGAAGTTCAATGATTCTACTAACAAAATTATTCAATATTAAATTTTAAAATTTCTCACATTCGTAATTTGTTATGATGCAGTTTGTATTATTTTTACGATTTTCATGTAAAAAAACACTTTTGACTTTTAGTTACATGTGGTTTGATTATACGAAGGATACGAAAAATACACTATTTAGATCGGATAAATAGTATAATTTCATGTAATATTGTTTTCATAAATCACATAGAAATAAACAGAACATATAGAAATAATCTGAAAGAGCTAAACGAGTCACTGTCCTTGATCTTTGTTATTCAAGTACGCAGAAGTTATATATCTTTACCGGAAAGGTTTTTTTTTCACTAAACCTCATAAATAACGAATTTTGAATCTTGTTAAAGTTATTACATTGGCCCATAAATGAACCATATGGATGTACTTTTGGAACGGGATGTTATATTTTCAAGACTATAGATAGCTTAACTTATCAATGTTATTTTAAAAGCGTAGTTAACTGAACAACATAATAGAAGGGAAGATCGAAGGAAAGACAGGCAGAGGAAGACCGAGACGAAGTTATTTAGATCAGATAAAGGAAAAAGTTAATGTCGAGTCGTATCAGGAAGTCAAGGCTAAAGCGCTAAACAGAGGTGATTGGAGATTACTCCACCGACAAGAGCCTAGCTCTTAAAGGAGAAGAAGTTAATTGTCTCGTAATAATAGTTATTTTGCATTTAAGAGCTAAAATCTTTTGTCAGTGGCTATAAAGGTTTGCAACGATAAGTTTTCTAAACGAATCTATAAAAATGTGTGTAGTTAAAGTAGTAGCGGTTCTGTTTTTACGTTAGCATTTTTAACAAATAATTACAATAATATAAATTACAGTAATATAAATAATACGTATATTCAGACGGTAAGCAGATAAACGGCGTCTGTTTGTTATTTTGCGTATAATAAGAGTTATTTTTGCTAAATATATTATAAACAAATATCAAATGCGTACGTAGTCATTTCCTGTAGCTTTATATCAATTAAAATGTAACGTTAGTAGATAAAGTGGGTGCGGAATGGCCTTGGTAGAGTAACATAATGTAAAAGATAGAAGCGAATATTTCTTTAATATAACATTGCTGTAGATCGCGTCTAGATTGGATTGGTGAAATATTGTTTTTGACGGTACTTTTGAATGTTTCAAGACAGATTGAAGCAAACGTATGAAATCGAAACCTTAGCGAAAAAACAATATCTCGTACCCTTGGTATAATAGTAAAAAATGTTTTTATTTGACAACAGGTACACAGACACAGGTTACCAATTTACAACCAATGGTCGGAATACGGTGTTCCAAATGTAAAGATAAATGTCTACATAAATGTACAAGGACTGACATGGAGTGGTTTGAGCCACCAAATATCAATTAATTACTTATTCGAACTCCTGATTTCCGGAAATAGCTTTTTTAACCGACATCAAAAAAAAAAAGGATATGCGAACCGATTTTGATGATTTGTTTTTTGTTGGAAAGAGGGTACCTCAGAATTGGTGCCATTTAACTGCCTCCGTGGCCGAACGGTTACCATGCCGGACTGCCACGCAGAGGTCCCAGGTTCGATTCCCGGGCCGAGAGAAATAGTTGTATGGCCTACAATTATATCTCTCGTGAGTTTGGGTGTAATTTGTGGTTGTCTATGTGTGTGTCCATGGCACCCGCGACACAGGGTTTCCCTAGTGCGGGGCTATGTTGAGTGTGTGCGTTATTTATTATTTATTTTATTTATATTTGAAGTAAACATTCTACCTCTAATGTTCGATTCCGGGACGGCGACGGGAGAAATATTTTTATAGCCTACATTAATTTCTCTCGTGAGTTTTGGGTGTAATTTGTAAAGTCTATGTTGTGTCTATAACACCTGTGTTATAGGTTTTTCCTAGTGCGGGGCAATGAGTATGTGTGAGTTATTTATTATTTATTTCTTTCACAGAGAGCTCGAACATAACTTACAGTATTGTCGTAAATTAATTCCAAATCTAAATTACGTGAACAACATATTTGCGCCAAACAACCGCTCTACGATTGTACCTTGTGTGTCCTTTTGGTATTGATGCTATGTG